CTAAAAGCGGGATCGGGCGCATGTGGTTGGTGCGGCGTCAACCTGCACCTGCACAACTTAAATAACGCCTGACGTGGCCTGATCTGGACCAGCGTTGGTACAGCGCATGTACCACGCAGCCCGTCAAGCTCTATCTATTACATAAGACATAGGTGCACGACATACTCCCATAACTCACCATGTCTTATCATGATACAGGCATGCAGTCCAAGTTGTCATTGCATGTTCTTAAAGTACATATTACTTGAGTGGGCAGTAAGTCCTTTGTGTTCTCTGGTTCACAAATTGAGAACAAGGTCCCGTGTCACACTGAAATGGTGATTCGGTAAAGTCAGTCATTGCAAACAATCTCATAACTCACTTGTCTGGCAGACTCTTATGTTCGGCTGATGCAATGAACAAGGAAAGATCGGTAAGGAAAGGACTATGCCCTCAGCCATTCAAAAATTTGTCTATCCTACTAAATTTGACCAACCTTAACCTCCCACCACTTGGTATCGGTCCTGGTTCTAAAGGCTGCGGACAAGACGCTGTTGTATTTAGGTCTTGGTCAGGCTGGTATTAGAAATCATCATCAAGTTCGCCTACACTTACTTCTAATTTTGGAGTTGGCGGCGCTTGGCAAACCATCAATAAAGCTGACTACATACATCAGGCAATTGCTGCTGGCCTACTCTAGACGATTTGCCACTACAGTTGTACAGGTGAGTATTCAGATGTTCAGCAAGATGGGGATGCAAATAATAACAAATTTGTATTAATGCACGGGGATTCGTCAGACCGCGGTTTACTTAACTCTTATTACGCGAATACGCAGACCACATCACATAGAGGTGGATGATGTAGGGTTGAGCTAAATGTAGATTGCCGGATATGCAAGTTATTTCCTATGCTATTTATGAATACAGAGCAAAATTGATTGTTTCTGCGGGCTGTCCTGTAAAATAGCATGAATCTAAACACGTTATTTTCAGTAATATCCCATCCGGAACCGGAATATCGTATGTTTTTCTAACGAAACATCGAAAGGAACCGATGAACGCTAATTTCTAAAGTTGTGTCGACACGCGCAATAGAAAACGGTATTTTGACTTTTTATTTTCCCGCACCCAGATAAGACTGTTAAACGAACTGTTTTTAGCGTTTTCTGTGGCTGGACCACGAAAACGACCTTAAATTAAGTTAAGTACATTGACCTCATGGTGCGTAATAAACTAACTAAGCTGGTAAATGGTTGAGAGTTTTGGCAAACTCTAGACATATATTACTACATTTAGTGGTTGCCGTGGCAGTCTAATG